TATAAGTGTGACATGTTAGTCAATTGATTGTTAAATATTGAAACCAAGTATGAAGATTATGGTAATATCGTTAATGCGAGAGTTTATGCCTGAGAGGTGTCCAGTTCCTTGGGCTGTGGACCGTGTGAGCTTGTTTCAGATTTGATGATTGTTCTTATGTGTCATGAATAAGGCCATTGTGGATCTTTCGAAGGTTATTGGCCCGGCATGGTATGACCAGAATCAGTGTGAGGTCCGTTGGTGGGTCTAATGTGAGTGTGTGCTCTACGTCAGGTCGTATGTGTTCATTCGTCATAGCATTTCTTACGGATGAGGCATCATGCATTGTATGCTGTTTTCGTTGTAAGCTATTCCATGTATATCTCTATTGTGCCATGTGGGTTGTGAGACAACTTGATTATTCGCACACGTATTGAGGTCCCGTGTAGCTTGTGGCGTTATGTGAGAAAGGGGCTCTCGAGATGCAGGTCATCATTGCAACTTAGCTGTGCTTGGGTTTCGTAGCGTATGGCGCTATCTGTCTCCCCAAGATGTGTATTATGCGCTTGGCGTGCTTGTGGTCGATATTCAGGCATTTCATAAATGTAAACATTACGACTTGATGTGTGTGTTTTCTTCTTGATTGTTATGTGCGGATCGGGTGGCACGCCTCCATGAGTATATTATTTGGGTCGGGTTGCACGCCACAACATTGTCATGTTTGGATCGGGTTGCATGCCGCAATAATGTCATGTCGGATCGGGTTGCACGCCGCAATAGCGAGATGATGAGCACAACTCATTACACTTATTTTGTGTGTCTTGTTTTTCATCCCTAAGGTAGGTTCACATCATCTATTTGGCCGTTTTATTCGTTATGCGGGCTGGGTAGTCCTTCTTCAGCGTTCGTTCTTCCTTATGTATCGCATTTGAGTTATAACTTGTTGGCACGTTGTGGGCGTCATATAAGATTTTTGGCAGTGTCTGAGATGAATTATTGCTTGACCAGCTTGTCCTGGGTGAGACGAGATTATTGGACCTGAAATTTGTGTAATCAGATCTATATAAGGTACATTAAAGAGAAAATATCGTTATTCAGTTCAGAATGAGGTAATGGTTCTTGTCAGGAGGAGAGACTCCATGAATTATTGATTCGGTAGGTGGTTATGAGTTTCTACATGTCTATTTCGTCGTGGCAGTATTGTGAGAGTTGGAACATGACTTATATGTATTATTAGGTGTGTTATGGGTATCAGATTCATGAAATTGCAGCTATTGTAGTTGGGGGATGTTATTATGGGCAACCGACTTACGTGGTGCATGGTGTGATTTCAGCATAGGTGTATGATCATGTTTTGGTACAGTGTGTGGTGATTGGTACAGTATTCGTATTTTAGATTTAGCTCTTATAGAGAAATTCGGAGGTTGGAATTTGGTTTTAAGGCTTATTGACTAAGTAAAAGGGAGAATCTTCAATCTGACTCGACCTTTTGTGTTCAATTGGATTGTGGTGGTACGGGTAGGTGCACGAGGTGTTAAACAGTGATTTTGGACAACTCCGGAGCAGTTCCTAGCATGTTCAAGGACAAAAGTATGTTTAAGTGGGGGAGAATGTAACGACCCGACCGATCGTTTTGAGATTTAGCGCGTCGTTCGGCGGTTTGAGACCTTGAATAGATTCATTTCGGGTATTATGACTTGTACGTGTGGTCGGAATTGAATTTCGGTAAGTTCAGAGTTGACTTGGAAAGCAAATTCTAATTTCGGAATCTTTAAATTGGAAAAAATGACTAAGGTTTGGCTTTTGAGTAAACGGCCTCGGAATCAGGATTTGAATATTCCAATAGGTTTGTATGATAATTTCAAACTTGGACATATATTCGAATTGAGTATCGGATTAACCGGGAGCATTTCGGTGCTTATTATGGAAGATTGACATTTTGAAGGCTTAAGAATTTTCGAAGTTTGGTTTGAAGTAGGCTTTGGTGTTGTCGATGCCCGTTTGGGATTTCGAGCCTTGGAATGGGTTCGTATTGTGATTCATGACTTGTACGCAAAGTTTGGCATTATTCCGAAATGTTTTGGTATGGTTCGGATGCGTTCATTGAAGTTTAGAAGTTTGAAAAGTTTTAAGAAGGATTTTGGTCGTCGATTTGTAGTTTTTATATTATTTGATGTGATTTGAGGCCTCGATCAGGTTCGTGTCATGTATTGGGACCAGTTGGTATGATTGGACGGGGTCTCGGAGGCCTCAGGTGAGTTTCAGATTGGAATCAGATTGAAATTTTTAAGTTGAGGAATGCTGGTTTTGGCCAATTGCTGGTGCAATCGCACCTGCGAAAACGGGGCCACATATGCGACTCCACAGAAGCGGCTAGGCTAGCACAGATGTGGATTTTTCTGGGGGAAGGCTGAGACCGCAGATGCGGTCGAGTGTCCGCAGAAGCGGAATGGCACATGCGGGTAAGGCATCACAGAAGCGAGGAAGAGGGCCGCATAAGCGACTTGAGGTGATCAGGGTAGAGGCCGCAGGTGCGAAGCAATTCCCGTACCTGCATGAGCGCATATGCGGTGCTTGGAGTGCAGAAGCGGGCAGGGATGTTGAGCACGACTTCGCGGAAGCATGGATTTCACCACCGAAGCGACGCCGCAGAAGCGGCCAAGATGATCGCAGAAGCGGAAGGTCGTCTGGGCAGAGGTGTTTTTATAAAAGCGGGATTTGGCCCATTTTCTTCTATTTTCACTTGGTTGGGGCGATTTTGGAGAGCTTCAAGGGGAGATGTTCATCAAGAAATACAAGGTAAGTTACTCCCACATATTACAAGTTTAATACATAGTTTGTATATGGATTTAGACATGAAAATTAGTAGGAATTTGGGATTTTGGTAGAAAACCTAGAATTTGGCATTTTTGGATTTTAACCACGAAATTGGACATAGAATTTGGAATAAATTGTATACTTTAGTTCGTAGTGTTATGGGTAAAGCTTATCTTTAAAATTTACTAAATCTGGGCCCGTGGGTCCGAGAGTTGTCCTTGTTGGATTTTTTTTAGCGGAGTTGAAATATTTATAAATTGTTAAATTATACGAATTGGGGTATATTTTGATTGATTTGCACGTTGTTTGATTAGTTTTGAAGAGACGGGCACCGAGTTGAGGCGTTTGAGTGGCTTTGGAGCCGGTTATGGAACTTCAGAGCGAGGTAAGTTTCCTGTTTAACCGTGTGAGGGAGAAACTACCCCCTAGGTGATATTTATTATTATGTGCAACTAGTTGTGGGTGCTACGTACGCATGAGGTGACGAGAGTCCGTACGTAGCTAAAGCATGTTTATGTCAGGGTAGACTTAGGATCTTATCATGAAATGTTGAAATTTCTTGAACTTACTCTGCTGGCTTAATTAATTGAAGTTATATCTGAAATCGATTTAGAAATAAATATATGCACACTGTGCCAAGCCTTAACACTTTGAGTTTCGGGCGAGTTATTTGAGAAATGGTAAAGATTATATTTATTTTATGCCCATGTGCTGTATTGTAAACACGTGTCTCATAATTCGGTAACTTTCTTACTTTTCTTGTGGAGCGGGTCGACGCCTCTGCAGTATATAGATGCATCTATGGTTCGTACCGCACGACCCTCAAAAGTGTACACATTATTCCGGATCGGGCCGAACTACCCCGGCAGAATCGTGCGTTATATCGTTAGTAGTCTGAATATTCACGAGCTAAACTTTTCACTGATCCTCGGCATTTTATATGGTATTCCTTACTTATTTGATAATGACACTTGACATTTTTCCGAGTTGTTAAGGGAAAATACAAGATTTAGAAATTTATTCTTTGAAAGAAGAAATTGGAAGATTATGTAACTTACAGATTTATCCCATTATTGTCGTATGCCTCATATCTGCTTATGTTTTATTATATTACTTTATTGGACCTTTAGTAAGTGTCGATGTCGACCCCTCGTCACTACTTCTCCGAGATTAGGCTAGATACTTACTGGGTACGCGTTGATTTACGTACTTATGCTGCACTTCTGCACTAAATGTGAGGGATTTGACATGTTCATTGATGATCACCTTGGCGCGTAGGCGCACCTATTGAGGAGACTTCACGTGAGCTAAACTCCAGGCTACGCATCGTAGCCCACCGAGTCTCCATTGTACTATTTATTTTATTCTATCTTATTAGATTCAGGACATATGTTGTATTATTATTGTATTCCTTAGAAAATACACATGCACTTGTGACACCGGGTTTTGGGGGTTCCTATGGGTTGTTCGTTATTGTAGTTGTGTAAATTCTATTTCATACGATTTGATTAAGGAAAATTATGATTTCAAAATACAAGAATAGGTAATTAAGTTGATCAATCACTGTTGGTTTGCCTGAGGGCGATGTTAGGCGTCATCACGACCTTTAGTGAATTTTGGGTTGTGACAAGTTAGCTCGTGAGAGTAATTGTATAAATGAGGTTAGGAGGTTGTGAAGGTTAGAGTAAGTTGTTTTTTCCAGTATGGAAGTAGGTCGAGGTGATCAACTACTTTGTAAATATTTACATTGGTGGTTAATACAAAGGTGTTTAATTACCAAAAAAAAAAAAAATTATTTTAGTCTAAAAATAGTTACTGATTTTCTCCTTTTGACTTTAACTCTAAAAGAAAAAAGAGACGAACCAATTACATGATGCTATTGAAAAGAAAAGATTCCACTCTATCCAATTTTGGAACAATTCTTGGCCAGATATTCCTAATGGCGCACACACTAACAATATTCCTTTCTTACCCATAAACAATTTCACACGTCATTTTTATTCTCTTCTATTTGATTCTCTTATCTTTTTCCTTGCTCCCCAATTAATCCCAACACATGATTTGATGCCACTCTCTACAGAATATTCCCACACACACTACATAAAGAGAGCACCCGAAAAGGGGGTTGGAAAAAACAGAGATATCTGAAAAACGAGAGAGCAACCGTTTCTCTTCTTCCCCATTCACCTGAAGAGGTATGTATATTTTGTTGAAGATTTTCTTTTTCCCTTTTGAATTGGTGTTTTCAGGTAAATTTGTGTTTTTAATCTGTCAAAGGGAAGGGAATATTGACTGTAAATTTTGATCTTTTTCATATATTTGGCCATATTATCTGGTATATTTTCAACCTGCTCTTGCATTTGTTGGTTTTAGCTTGCCTCAAATTAAAGCCAAAAAACAAATATGGTGAAAATCAGAGGCGGAGCTACGATTTCAACTTTATGGTTTAAGATTTTAGGATGATGACTTCAAGCAACTAATAATTGAGTTTTAAATTTAATATTTATACATATTTTAAGTATATGTATAAATATTATCAAAAGAAATTATCAAAAGAAAAATGAACTTTACTCACAGGAAGAGAGAACACTAATTGTAGGCTGGCATTCATAGGTTAAGAAAAGGATACAACTAATGTTCGATAAAAACTTACTACCGCACCGAATGTTTACACAAAACTAATGAATGTAAGACATACTCTACAGAATACAGCAGTAGCCAGTAAATCAAAGAAGTAATTGCATTGGCAATCTGCACACATCAATACTGCAATGGAGACAGCTACAATTGAAGTATTGCCTGATTGCCTCATTCGCAAAATAGTTTCCTACCTTAGTTTTAAAGAAGCAGCCAAGATGAGCATTCTCTCCAAAACATGGCTACAAGCCTGGTTGACTCATCCCAACTTGGAATTCACAGTTGATTATCACCACGACATGAAAGTGGTGGATAAAGTCATGGAGAGATATAGGGACAGAAAAATCCCTATTGAAAAGTTTGAATTATCATCAGATTCTAGTTCTCGTGAAGATATTGAAAAGTGGCTCGGAATCGCTCTTCAGAATGGTGTTAAAGATTGTAGATTTCATGGCTTAGCATGCCCCTTGCCTATTTTCATAATCTTGGCAGCAAAATCTTTAAAAGAATTGGTTTTGACACGTTGTAATCTGAAGAGTGTTTCTTTATCTAGAGGTGTGGCGAACCTCTTTTATTTGGAGAAGCTATCTCTATCATCTATCTATTTGAATGAAGACATGCTTCAAACTCTACTCACTAATTGTCCCTTGATTGTCAGTTTCGTCATTGATAGTTGTTATGGGTTGGATAAGATCGAGCTGCGGAATCTTCAAAAGATCAGGTCAGTTTCCATAACAAAAAGCAGTAGAAAACGTGTTAAAATCCAAGCACCAACTCTTGAACACTTTTCGTATTATCAGTTGTCTGTGGAAAAATTGGATATTGTTGAATGTAAGAATTTGAAATCTGTAGAACTATCATATGTGACTCTATCTGGTGGTTTTCTCGAGCACCTTATCTCTGGATTCCAATTCCTTGAGTGTTTGATAATAGTTTGCCTTGGTAAAGGGTCGGAAAGGTTTAACATTTTGAGTCGATCTCTAAGGGTATTGAAGATTGAGGATTGTGAGGGTGTAGGAGAAATTGATGCTCCAAATTTGGAATCAGTTGAGTATATTGGAGATCAAATTCCTAGGCTTAAAATTGCAAAAACGTCAAGCCAATTGAAGCACTCACAGATCGTTCTTCACTGTCAGAACAATTTAAATGTTGTGTGGTTTTATGAGTTGAGAAGGTTCCTGTCAAACTTGACCTCTTGGTCTCAAGTTTCCCTTCATTTTTCCAAATGCCATGAGATAAATAGGAAAGAATTGAAACCGCACGATAGAGTTGCTCTCCCCCAAGTGGACGTTTTAGATGTAGATATAAAATCATCTGGGAATTGCCCAACTTTTGTGGATGCTTTGCTATGGAGTTGTCATCCCAAGAGACTCAACCTATCATCAACGGTTAAAATGATTATATGTTTCATCGATCGTTTAACGTATTTGAAGAATTCAAGTGATTCTACTTCTCATGAAAGCAAGCCTTACGGAGAGTGAGAACGTTTATTTTTTATTAGATTGGTGATGCAGTTAACTTTTCTCTATTTCAAATTGAATGCACTTATTTATCTCTAAAGTTTATTAATCTGTTTTTCAGGATACATTCTTTTTTTATATCTATCTTTACATTCTTGCACTTTCCTAAGTAGTTAAGTAGTCTGTTAAGTACTGATAATTGTGCTGAACTTGAATCATAGGATTCTTTATTCGGTGAGCAGTCTCAAGAATATTCATTAATTTGCATCAGTATGAAAGTGAGAACCTATTAACTTCTTCTTGGCTTATTTCCACTTACTGTTCTAATTTCACTTTGAGGTTATCCTGCATATTGTTTTGCGTTTAGACTTCTGATTTTTGTTACCTGTGCATCTTTTTCTTATTTCATAGGAGTATAGAACTGCACTTTATTTTTTCTTTTCTCACGTCGTGCTAAATAGAGCTTATGGACCAGATTCCACAGCTTTTAGAGATAAGCAGAAGCTGTGATACTTCAATCACAGCCATTTAGTACAAGTTTGCTAAAATATAAGTGCCCGTTTGTTTCTGTAGCAGCTTGACGAAAGCAACATAGAGTATCGTTTGTCACTCCCCAGCATAGAAATTTTATCCCTGGTACTCAACCTGCTGCATATACTAGTACTAAGATGATTAGATGTAGTTATAGCATGGTATATTTCTCTTTTACCACCCAATATAAACCAATGAAGTCTGTTTTACTTCTTCTGAGATGCTATTCAGAGTTTCATCTTTCTCGATCACTCAGGTCAGCTTTTTTGATAATTTTTCTCTCTTGTAAGCCCTTCCTTTCATATATGTAAGAATAGTGATTCCTACAAGTTCGAAGCCTTGACTCGGAAAAAGGTCCACTACTCCATCTCCAAATGGACAAACACAGTAAGCAATCGCATCCTTTTTGTCTGTAAATAAATTTAAGCTTTTTTGGTCTCCTTAATACTGATTTGATTGCTTCCATATATTTTAAGATGTTTTTCTTCCATTTTTTGTCACATTAGTGATGGACATGTCTTCCTTTTAGGGTTGTCTAAATGAACTAGGGCAAATTTGTTATTTGAGGGTTTCTTGTCCTTAGATATCTGGTTTTGTTATCCCTTTCAATGTCCTTCCTAATTTCAGTTTAAGACAGATTTCCCCATATCAAATTTTATAATTTGGCTTAGGGTAATGATTTCCTTTCTGAATAAATTTTCGGCCACTAACTGTTACAGGGAAAGTTTGAGTTTGACAAGGATTTTGAGTATTGTTGAGACTTGAGATTGCTTTGATAGACAAAAGATCATTTTATTACCATTATATCATTATTGAGAGTGCCTAAATCTTACTAGGGTGAGCAGCATTGACTTCACGTTTATAGAAGGACAAAAAATATGTAATGCACATTATTTTCACGACATATACAGAAGCTATAAAATCCAGTAGTACTCTGTTTTCCAGTAGTAAAAGTCCACTGGGATTAAGGATTGAGACTCAATCTGACATGAATCTCAAGAAAGGTATCATATGTCAACGATTTTTGTCTGGACATTGACAGGACGTTTAGTGGCTCCTGACAATCACTCCATTGCCAATCTTGGCGAATGGTATACTTGCGACTGAGGGTGGTATATGACTCAATACTCTAAGTAATCTATTCTCTTCTATTATTCAGTCCTATAGGTGGTGAAATAACTTCCAACCTCGGATCAACAGCTAGGCTTGCTATTCAGACTGGGGCAGTTGGTACTTGGTATCATTGTATTCAAATCATGGCTCTTGAACATGTATGTAACTTGCTTCTAACTTAGTACTTATTCTTTTTGTTTCATGTTACCTAATTTTGTTGTTCATGTAATTCCATATTTCAGAGGGTGTGGACTAAATTGTTTTTGTCTAGGTAATTAGGAATAAGAATGAATTGGCATGGACATTTTATACTCAAATTTTCTCTGGAAATTTTATCATGAGCTTGATATGAATCTTCTTATAAAAGTGTTCCTCAATTCAGAACTTCCATTACTTTTTCCAGATGATCGGTCATGGACAATGTTTTGCAATGAGCAAAATATGAACTCTCCCTTCGATGCTCGCAATTTCTTGCTTGATGGTCATTATAAAAGCATAGTTTTTCTGTAACAACGTTGAGCGTGTTTCTTTCTTCTTCTTCTCTCTCTCTCTCTATATATTTCTCTTTCCGCCTTCTGTTAGAATCTATTGATTCAATAATCAAGAGAAATGGTCTCAAGCTCAAAGCCATTATTCCTTAACCCCTGGAATTGAAGGCAACAATTCAAGGAGAATTTTAGCAGTTCATGGCTAATTGCTTTGACTATTGCAAGATTTCTTTTCCATTTGGTTTCTATTTATATTCTTCTATATCATCAAACTAACATTTGTGACAAACAAGAATGTGTTATTTGTACTCAGTCCAACAATAAATCATGTTCTTCTCCATCTCTACTTAATTTCTGGTTGTCAAACGTTTTTAAGTAGAATGTCTACTGAATCACGAAGAGACCATGTGACAACTGTTTTTTTCTTATTCTGTTTTGATGAAAAGAAAAAAATACATTAAATAGGAAGAAACACGTACAAAAAAAAAGAAGGTAAAAATGTTAAGAAAAAAAGAAGTTGAAACTTTATTTTCTAAATATCAAATTTGAAAAGTTAATAAAGACATTTATTTCGAACCGGATGGAATGGTTTCTTAATTATGAAAGGAGGATAAAAAATACCTATGTGCAAACAATTTTTGATTCTACATCCCAAAATATGTGTTGGGATTCAAGTACTACCGTTAACACATAAAATTTTCATTTCAGTTTTTTTTTTTTTTTTTTGGAATATGTTTATATATTGAGAAGGGAGATGCATGGAAACTAAAAAACTAACGTAATTTATTAACTTCTCAAATAGTCATAATAGTTAAACAAACTGATAAATTTCTAAATTTATTAAAGTTTTTATTGACCGCAACTAATTCCCTAGGTACTCTTTAAATCCAAGTCCAAGGTTTTTTAGGATTATCAAAAAGCCTTTAAATTATAGCACCGAACTTGGCTTAATTAAATCAAAAGGTTTTATGCGAGGTAGAATTCTGCCTAAAAAAAGGGTTTCCTTTACTTTTCCTTGTAGTTGTAGGAGTGTGACTTTATTATATAAAAGAAGCAATCTATAAACTCTGAGTGAATTTGTAGCAACGAAGATGGCGAGAGTAACAGCAGACATATTGCCTGAATGCCTTATTCAAAAAATACTCTCTTATTGTTCTTTTAAAAGAGCAGCCAAGATGAGTATTCTCTCCAAAACATGGCTACAAGCTTGGTTGACTCTTCCCAACTTAAAATTCAGAGCTCGTTATTATAAGGACGTGGAAATAACGGACACAATCCTCGAGAGATACAGGGACAATAATATCCCTATTGACACGTTTGAATTTTTAAATTGTTTAGAATCTTATTCTCGTGAAGTTTTTTTCCCTCCGATTGGTAAGTGGCTTGATATCGCTCTTCAGAATGGTGTAAAAGATATAGTGTATGAAGATCCTAGGCGCTTGGTTAGATCATACCCTTTGCCTATATTCAAAATCTTGGCAGCAAAATCTTTAAGAGAATTGGTTATGGAGGGTTGTGATCTGATGTTGCGGGGTTCATTATCTGGTGGTGTCACGAACTGCATTTCTTTGAGAAAACTCTCTCTATCGTATGTAAGGTTGGACAACAACATGCTTCAGACTCTACTTAATAGTTGTCCCTTGATTGACACTTTCATCCTTGAGTATTGTCCAGGGTTGGAAAAGATTGAGCTGTTGAATCTTCAAAAGATCAAATCAGTTTCCATTAAGACACGTGGAAACCAGCGTGTTAAAATTCAAGCACCAACTCTTGAACGCTTGTTTTGTTGTGGTGCTTTGGAAGAGTCTCCTATGTTGGATGTTGTCGAATATCAGAATCTGAAATCTTTAGAGCTATCAGGTATGAATATATCCGATGGATTTCTCCAGCACCTTTTTTCTAGATCTCAATCCCTTGAGAGTTTAATATTAGACAATGTCTGTAAAGGGTTGGAAAGGTTTAAGATTTGCGGGAGTCAATCCCTAAGGATCTTGCAGATTAAGGATCGCGAGGACAAAGTTGGAGAGATTGATGCTTCAAATTTGGTATCACTTGAGTATATGGGAGATCAAATTCCTAAGCTTAAAATTGCAAAAGAGTCAAGCCAATTGAAGCGCTCACATATCCGTCTTGATTTCTGGTCCGGGAATAATTTAAATGCTTCATGGTTCCGTAAATTGAGGATATTCCTATTAAGCTCAATCTCTTGGTCTCAAGTTTCCCTTTATTTTCACAAGTGCAATGAGATCAACATGAAAGATTTGCGACTTCACCACAGAGTTGCTACCCCCCAAGTAAACGTTTTAAATGTGTATATAAAGTCACGTAAAGGGCTTCCAACTTTTGTGGATGCTTTGCTATGGAGTTGTCATCCTAGGAAACTCATGCTAACCTCAACTGTTGAAATGGTTACATGTTTCACCGATCGTTTAATGTATATGAAGAATAGCAAGCCCTTGTACAGCCAATTAAAAGACGTAAAAGCCTATAAATTTGATTGTAAATATGAGGCCCTTACGGAGAAGAAGAAAGTTTATTTTTTATTAGATTGGTGATGCAGTTAATTTATTAAATATGACTAAGTTGGTGTTCTGTTTTCTCTCCAGTTCATATGAATTTGCTGTACGTTTTGTGACTTATTGATGCTGTCCACCATTTTTGAATAAAGTAAAAAGTCTAACTTCTTCTAGATTGATTAGGCAAGGCAGTATCTTCATTCACTATTAATTGGTTAGAGTATCCAACTGTATAGTAAATTAGTGCTCCTAAATATTCTTGATTCATCTCCTTGAAGTCTAAAATTGTCTCGGTTATCATCCGAATAACTCTTTATGACATAAATAGAAGTTTCAATGAAGACTTTAAAGCACGACGAATTGATCTCTTTCTCCTACGTTTACCAACATACATTGATTTATTTGACTTTACCTCACCAGGCCAACTTGGAGGAGAAACATAGTAGGATATATAGAAGCTATATACAGTCTTCCTCTGGAATGGAAATATTCAAGAGGTAATGAAAAGGTTGGAAGGTGCAAAATATTGAAACACGTGGATTTAGTTACTTTCTAGTTAGGTAGTAACTGAATTAGTGCATTGTCAATACAATCAGTTTTAAGTTCAGTATGATAGGAAAACAGGTATATACATCAGAAGCAAATAGCCAGGATCACTTGCACGTAATATAGGCAACACATAATCACAAATTTTAGTCGAACATAAAATCGATACTTATCTCTTGAAGCGTGACCGCTATCACGAAAACAACCTTAAAATAAGAGCGAAATCATCCACTAGATCATCCTCCAGTTCCATAGTCTTACGCTGTGTGACCCGAATAATGCGCGAAATTAGCGAAATTCGCGTGGGCGTAACTGAATTAGTGCATTGTAACTATCCACCTTTTAACCAGTCAATATAGTAAGTTTTAAGTTCAATATACTCTTCCTCTCTCTCTCCCTTTCTTCCTCTTCCTCACATAACAAATTTAACATCTCGGAGCTCACTTTATTGAGACTGTAACTGTATTTATTCATATGTTAGTTACTACTATAGCAGTTAGTTATTAACTGTAGCTTAGCTGTCATTTTTTCAGTTGGTTAGTTAGTTAGTGCTTACTGTATATAACAGACACTTTGCATCATAATTGAGTTTTGAGTTTCATTTTCCTCAACTAGAGGCTCCGCCTCTGTTCTTCTACTTCTTCTCTTTTCAGTTGATCTTCCAGAAGCTTCTGATTTTTCCTCCATTGCAGCTAGGAAGCTTTCCTATACTTGGATTCCAAAGCTTGGCATGGTATCAGAGCCTTGTCACGTATCAACGATCCAAAAAATTGAACTGTGCAGGCTATTGTTTTCTTCAAGCTCAAAATTATGGTTCATTTTTGGTGCGATATTAATTCTCGAGCAAACGAACAAATCGGAGCTATTCTCATTCAATTGAGTTTTCTGCAGTTTCATACACTCATTCAATTGGTGTTTCTCTGTGTTTTCATTTTTTTACTCGAGCTGAACTAATCGATCACTTCAACTATGGCGGTAGATGACCAAAGTACAGAATCTACGACTGCGACAACAGCCGAGATCCAGGGGCAGCTCAACTGATCTTGGGGCCTAAGGCGAAACCATATTCGGAGGCCCTTAATCCCAGTATAATCTCACTAGTGGGGTCTTGGGAGGGTAGTTTGTACGCAGACCTTACCCCTGTCCTGTAGTAGAGAGATTGTTTCCTATAGACCCTCGGTTCCCTCCCTCCAAGAACTCCCCACCTTGCTCTTGGGGTGACTCGAACTCACAACCTCTTGGTTGGAAGTGGAGGATGCTCACCACTAGAGCAACCCACTCTTGTCAAATATACTAATTAATGAGGGAAGAAAACTATCATAATTTATAAATTTATTGTCTAAAATAACCTCAATCAAGTAACAAAAAATATACTGTAACACTTTTTTTTATTCTAATTATTTATATAAATTATATAATATATAATAGTAACAATAATAATAAGAATTTAAAATAAATTTGGGGGTTTCAAAATTTGGGGGCCTAAGGCAATGGCTTCACTACCCAAAGCCTTAGAGCTACCCCTGCCGAGATCCAATCGACAATTGATGTAAGTAGTTAGCTTTACATACATCCTTCTGACAGCCCTCGACTGGTTCTAGTTCCAGTTCCTTTTGATGGAATAGGATATCGTTCATAGAGGAGAGGTGTATTGAGGGCCCTCTCAGTTAAGAACAAATTAGGCTTCGTCACTAGGGAATGTGGAAAACCTGATTCGAAGTCGATAAATTGTAGATAATGGGAGAGATGTGATGATATGGTAACTTCATGAATTTTGAATTCACTTGCCAAAGAAATTGCGAATAGTGTAGAATATGTGAATAGTTCAGTTGAGTTGTGGAGAGAACTTGAAGATCATTATGATCAAACAAATGGGGCAAAATTGTATCAAATCCAAAAGGAGATTAATGATTTAAATCAAAGAGTACTCGACATTACTGGATATTACACTAAAATGAAGAAACTATGGGAAGAATTAACTAATCTCAGTGCAAAACCCCTCTGTAGTTGTCAGTGCACCTGTGGTGCAAAGGAAAACACGCACAAAGTTGAACAGGACAGAAGATTGATATAATTTCTAATGGGTTTGAATGAGGTTTATATTGTGGTTCGATGGAGCATACTGATGATGAATCCCTTGCCTTCCATGGCACAAGCTTTTGCTCTTCTAATGCAAGAGGAGAACCAAAGAGAATTTTGACCTAGAAATCAATTGAATTTTGAATCTACTGCAATGAATGTTGGTACAACAATGCCAAGAGGCTTCAGGACAAATTACTCAGTGAACAACAACAGACCTAGGCCCTTTTATGACTTTTGCAAAAGGCTAGGACACACGAAAGACAAATGTTTCAAACTTCATGGATATCCACAACACTTCAATCGAAAAGGAGCTCAAAACTATAATTTGACTGCCCAAAATGATAACCAATATCCCAGGAATAATAAAGGAAAGAGTATTGCAGCAAATATTATAACTGGTGTACAAGGTATGCCATCTGATGTAATGACAAACAAAGGAGAAGACCTGGAGCATCAGGATAGTCACAGTAACCAAAACATGAATCTTTCAAAGGAGCAATATGACCAAGTAGTGAGGCTGCTACAACATTTCCAAAGTGATGGTGCAGGAGACACTTCGAGTAACACAAATGCAGCCAATGGAACAGTAAAACTTTGCAGGTATTGTGAATTGCACTTCTTCTATAGATTTTGACAAACTCTCATGCAAATGCTTTCAAGCAAAGGCTGAATTATGGATTCTAGACTCGGAAGCTTCACACTACATGACTTTTAGCAAGACACACCTGCAAAATATAATTGTCCTACCCTATCCTTTACTTGTGAAGCTACCAAATGGTTACAAAGTCAAGGTAACAGAAGTAGGAACTGTGACACTTACACCTAAGATTGTTTTGTATAGAGTCCTATTTGTTCCCTCTTTTAAATACAACCTTATCTCTATCAGTTCCTTAACAGGACATCTCAAATGTCTAGCTTCTTTCTCTAACAAATGTTGTCTTCTGTAGGCCCCTTCTCTGAAGAGGCCTCTGGAGATTGGTAAAGTTTATGATGGGCTGTACCTTCTGTGCTCAGACTGCTTGAACAAAGGAAGTTTTGTTATAGCAAAGAAGAGTGCAATTTCCTGTTTTTCCATGCACGATAGTTATGATAGTGCAGCACATTGTCTTTCTCATTCTTGTCAGTCCTGTCCTCCTATAAATACTCACTGTTCTTCCCATTCCCGTCACCCCTGTTTTACTATAAATACTGCATCTCCATCTCCTATTGTTTGTTTAACCTGGAATAAAACAAACAGGGGTTATGACTCTGATTCTTTTTCAATCGATACAAGTGATATGAATCTGTTATGGCACTATAGACTTAGACATGTACCCTTTGGGAAGATGAAAGGAATGTCTAATATACTAGTAATCTTTGCATCAAAACAACCTTTTCTTTGCTCTATATGCCCTATGGCCAGACAAACTAGACTTTTTTTTTCCTTGAAAGTTACAAACACCACTACTATATTTGACCTCTTACATGTCTATTTGTGGGGACCTTATCATGTACCCACTCATGACAATTTTAAATATTTCCTTACTATAGTAGATGATTTTAGTAAATCCACTTGGACTCATCTACTCAAATGTAAAAGTAATGCATTGCATACTCTCAGAAGTTTCATCTCTATGGTTGAGACACAGTTTAATACCAGTGTAAAGTGCATCAGATCAGACAATGGTCTGAAATTCACCAGTAGTAAAGCCACTCTGTCCTTTCTGTCCAAAGGAATTGAACACCAAAGAACCTGCCCATACACACCTCAACAAAATGGCATAGTAGAAAGAAAACATAAATACCTATTGGAGACTTCCAGAGCCTTGTTATTTCAAGACAAACTCCCTTTGAAATATTGGGGAGAATGTGTACCAACAACAACTTTTCTCATTAATAGACTGCCTACTGTACCTCTAAAGAACAAATGTCCTTTTGAGTTTTTGTATGGAAAGAAACCAAATTATTCACATTTAAGAAGCATTGGTTGTCTGTGCTATCCAACTGTTCCTAAACCACATATAGACAAATTTGAGCCAAGGGTTACTCCACACGTGTTTGTAGGTTATCCCTTTGGTGTCAAAGGGTACAAAGTGATGAGTCTAACTACCAAGAAAATCTGTGTGTCTAGGGATGTTGTTTTTCATGAGTCTATTTTTCCTTTCTCTCTTCCATCAGTATTAGCTTCCTCCTCTTCCATGCCTCATACTGCTGCACACCATGATTACTTTGGTATATTTCCCTCTTGTCCTTCTCATAGTGTCACAACTCCTCCAAGGGATCCTTCTGTTACACCTACTTCAATGTCACCTAATCATACCATATATCACCTCATATTCCTAACACTACTTCACCACAAACATCATCTCCAACTACTTCAAGAGTTAATCAGCCCTCTCCACCTACACTAAGACCTAATCAAAGAGTATCTGGTAGAGTCTCTAAAGTTCCATATTACTTGTCTGACTATATATAT